TTTTTTTGTCGAAACGATAGAAGTAACTCGAATAACAAACCGAAATATCAGCTTACAACCTGAGGGACCAACTAGTCCAAACACAACATGCACAAATACAAGGGAAAACGACCAAAAAACACCAAAAGAGAACTAGACAAACCAAGGGAAAACACTAAAGGCAAACACCCGCATTTGTAAACCTTTAGCCAAACACCGACATCAACACGGAAAAGCCCTACAAAATAAAGAAGAAAAGATAGTCGACCACTAAACATGTGAACCTAGTCTTCTACCTTCCTCCGACCCTAACCCTGGTTCTTCCCCTTGTTTTCAATAGTTGGAAAAACACCGGTGAAGCTACCAAATTTTCAACAGTACGCGACAACAGGATGAAGAATTCAATTTCTGATTCTCGGTGACTCGGTTGTCCAAATTTGATGGGTAAACACTCATTTTGTTCCTCTTTTAATGAACAATAATATATCTTGATCAATTTGATATTTTGAATTCATATGAGTCTTCAATTTGAAGTGTAATATTCTATTTTTTTCCTCAAATTTCTGCAAAATATATGGATAATTTAACATTCTTAAATGAAATAAAATATAGTGTATAACATTTAAAATTTTAAATAAGAACATTTTAGTAATTATATAAAATACGTTTTTCTTTTTAAATTATTTAGTAAGGTAAAAGGACACATATCAACATTTAAAGGGGTACCTATTGTCATGTATGTACGAGACATGTATGAGGAGTACTTGATGGCATAATGACCCTACTCAAAATTATTAATTCTTTACTCAGTGTTTGTTATGTAGAAGTTTTGTTGTTTGGTTATATACTCTTATTGCAATATACTGTCACTAGATGTGTGCAAAGTTCGACCCAAACCGAAAAAATTAATCGAAAAAGTGAATCTGAAAATGAATGTAAATAGTCTTTCTTATTATTGTTCTTGCTTGAGTAGAAATATGTTAGTTGGTTATCGGCTTTTTACTTTTAAAATTTTAGTTATTTCGGTTTGGTTTTTGACTTTATTTAAAAAATAACCAAAATAACTAAACCGACCGAACTATATAAAAAATAATATTTTTATATATATTTTTTTCAGCAAAAATAATATAAAATGATAAATGAAAAATTTAAAAATTAAATATACACATATATATATATATAGTTATATTATAAATTATAATTTATTTCTATTAATTCGGTTAACCAACCGAATAACCCGATTATGTCGATCAGCCTGACTTTCACATTCAAAGACCTTATACCTCAATGGATTACATGATTAAGTGGGATATCCATCCAATCATTCATAATCACTCATTTGTTTCATGGATTACAACCAGTTGGATATACATGGTTCTAGGATTAGTGGAGATAGAGTCTTAAGAATTTATGATAAATAATCCACCCAAAATTGGATTGATTAATTTTGTCAAGGGTAGATTATTATAGTCAATCACAAAATGCCTCTACTTTTTGGTACCAACCTCAACCGTTCCACCTCTTCCCAATCCGTCGTCAGCCAAGTAGGGATCGTCGCCGTCTACTGTCTCCTCACATCACAACCTATAAATCCTAGCAACCTCTCAAATTTCTTTTGGCAAAAAATTATATGATGATTCTCGGAAAAAAANAAAAAAAAAAAAGAGAAAAAATCAGTATAAGCCGGTTGTTTGGAGAGAAGGGACGTGAGAGGGCACAAGTGGGGCATGTGTAGGGTTTGGTTCGTACGGATAGGGGATTCGACGGAGGTTCATGTAGATGGGAGCGAGTTTTGTCCTGCAAGAGATGAACTTTCCATATGGTTTTTGTAGTGGTGAAGAAATAAATTGTTGTTGTTTTGCAGGAGTAAACTGTTGGGGAAGATGAGGGCAACATATGAAATGGACATCTAATTCCATGACTTATCAAGTGAAGCATAATGTTGTGAGAGTTATTTACTACCTAAAATATCAATCCTGAAAAACAAATGCGGGATTAATTTTATCAAAGACAATCACCTTATTATTTTAAGTCAATCTCATCTCATAAAACAAACACACCTTAACAAACTAAATCCAAACGAATCCTTGGCCAATATTTTCCCCTTTTCTCCAGGTCACGTGCTCTCTCTTTGTTTATTCTCTAGAACTCAGCCTGTCAATTTCTTCCCAACAAAACCACTTTCCTCATTCATCCGTCAATATTTCACCTCTCTACCGATGGGTACACACACATATAACTTTCTCTAACACACTGGCACCACACACTATTTGTCCAAAGATATCTTCTTTTCGACGAGTACTCGAAAAGTTCTTTGGTGAAACACCCGAACTATTTCTGCTCTTCATAGTCGCTTGCCTCAGGTGAGCAGCTTCATTCGATGTTCGGGTCAACTATAGGGCCTTTTAATTTGTTGCATTCAGTTTATCTGCTCGTATTGGGATTTTTCTATATAATTTCAAGGCGG